AGCCTAACCATGAAATTCACTCATTTTTCCATGTAGGATGGAGTGATTTTCGTCCAACCCTAATTCCATAAGGGTTCTGGAACATTCCTGATTAACCAACTGTCGATTGATGAATATTTAACTATTTGATTACTTAAACTGTTAATTAATTCCCAAAATATATTTCCAATTAGTTTCTAATTAATTATTAACCATAATAATTAATGAATCAATTTATTCTTTATTTACTCTACTCAATTTGGGTCTTGAGGGCAACCCAAAAGGACCCTGTTATTATTAGAAATATTACCAATAGTTAATGACATTGGACACTCTTTCCAACAAAAAATTGATCAAATAATATTTAACCAAGATGTATGAAAGTCTGTAGTGTTTGAGACAATGCAAGTATCGAATAGTAATCAAAACGAGACAAATGAATTACAAAGAAAGTCATTGATCCTTGCTAAGATCTCCGACATAAGACCTTGGGAGGTGATAATGATCATTTGCCTTGTTGTGTTTATTAATTTTGAAGTAGGTTTACAATGATAATGAAGATAATACGAATACAAGTGAAATAGTAGAGTTAATTGTGTGTGTAGTGTATAGTTTACAGGTGTTATTTATAGTCTAAGCTAAATAACAAGAAGTCCGATATTTCGGGGATCCTTCTTGAACAAGTATTTACACGTTGTTTGACTTGGTATTCCCATGTCTTAAGCTTGGTTGAAGTGATTCTCCGTTGAGAATGAGTCTTGTGTTGACTAATTCTGCACATGTGAGAAAAAGAAAGAAGATCATAGCCGTTAAAAGTGTTAGGAAATATTAATGATAATAATCAGGATCCTGAGATATGTTTAAGGATCCTGAAACTTTAGGAATATTAAGGATCTTGAATATAATTCTGGGATCCTGCGCTAACATATATATATATATAATATATATATATATATAATATATATATATATATATATATATATATATATATATATATATATATATATAGGGTGAGGTTCAATAGAGAACCATAATTAACCAAGGAACCAATCTTTTTTTCAACTTTAAGAACTTATTTTTTATCAAAAAAAAAATTAAAAATACAGAAATTCATAACTTTTTATCCTTTTTCCAATGATATCAAATTCGAATTTTTTTTACGTCAAATTCACAAGGTGATCTTTGAAATTCACATGTGAATCCGATTCACACAGTGAATCCGAAAAATATTTTTCACATTCACAATGTTAATATATGAATTTAGATATTTTTAGATTTTTTTTCGATAAAGAATAAAGTCTAGAAATGAAAAAAAGATTTGGTTCCTTGAAGAACCAATAATTATGGTTCTCTATAAACTTTTCCATATATATATATATATATAATATATAATAATATATATATATATATATATATATATAAAAGGGTATATTTCGAATATTTTTGAAAAAACTTCATAAGCTTATCACAAGCTATCTCAAAGTAGTTTATCAAAAATTAGCTTATAAGCTTGTTCATAGGGTAAAATAAATTACTTTTATGGTTTTCCCAAACAATAAATTATAATAGGCTAGTTTATTTTTACGGAACATGGTTTTAATCGATCTCATTCAATCAAAAAGTTATTTTTTATCTTAATTTTTTTAATATGAATCATTTTTTTTGAAACTTTTATGGAAGTTTTTCCTAAAAAAATACATAAAATAGTTGTTTTTTCAAATAAAATCGTATAATCTTTAAAATATACTATATGTTTTTCAGTAAAATTCCCAGAAATTAATAAAACAAATGACTTGAAATAATATTTTCGTAAAATTTGAAAAGTTACTTCCTATTAGTTATAATAATATTTTTTTTATAATTATTTATCAATTATTCTATCAAAAAAAAATGCCACTTTTTATTGGTGTCAGTTATGGCACCACTCACAGACTCACTGGGGAACCCAATTACCCAACCATACGTTTATTTCATAGACCCTTTGATTTTTTATGTCAACATCTTTTATCATAAATTTTGTTAATTATCAATTGAAAAGATGTCAATTTGAAGTTGATCTGATGATATATTTCGATACATCAAAATCGAACATTGAGATTGCCAGAGCAAACGTAATAACCGAACTACCCTTTACTTTAGTCCTATAAATTCGTGGTCCATAAAACATTATCAAAATTTTCCTATCTTAATCTCAGTCAAACAAACATCCCTCTACACCATTCCCCTAATTGCTTACAAATACACCCAAAATGATAATACTAGAAGTCAAATAACAAAACATAAAAAGAAATATCTTTCTATGAATTTATATTTTAATATTGTCTATTTTTAAAGAATCTTTTAGTATAGCGACATATTAAATAATCCATAAGTCAGTTTATATCTTAATGATATTTGTTATCAAACACCTTTTAATTCCTTAAACAAAAACTTATTAAATAAAAGAAAAAGGAAAAAATAAACTGTGACCAAAGCGATACATCAATCAATATGAACCATTGTGCAGGTCTACGTGTAGTTATAATATTGGTGTCTCTTTTTTACATTTTAACCAAAGGTAATAAACTATAAATTACCTTTTATATTTAAAAAGGAAAAATACCCGCAATAGTCAAAAAATGGGGGGTATTTTCAAAATTTAGACATGAAAATAGACATTTCCGAGTATAGACATGCATTCCGTGGAATCTACTGTAGTTCCGCGGAATGGCAAAATCGTAAATAAATTAGTGTATTAAAAAAAAAAAAAACTCAAGATCCATTCTGCGGAGTTACAGTGGATTCCGCGGAGCTCCGCGGAGGTAGCTCCGATGAATGGATCTTCAGAAAAAAAAATATCCTCTAATGATTCTTTTATGTAATGATCTCTAATTAAAAGACCAATTTTTTTTCATATCACATTCATTCCAAACATTGTCAAGAAAAATTCATACTATCATAATCTTTTCTTGAAAATAATTAGTTGGGAGAATGAATATAAACCCCGAAGAATCGATTTAAAAAAAAAAAAAAATTGATGATGCATTCCTCGAAGCTACCTCTGCGGAGCTCCACGGAATCCAATGTAGCTCCACGGAATGGATCTTGAGTTTTTTTTTTTAATACACTAATTTATTTACGATTTGCCATTCCGCGGAGCTACAGTAGATTCCGCGGAGCTCCGCGAAACTACCTCCGCGGAATGCATGTCTATACCCGGAAATGTTCATTTTCATATCTAAAATTTGAAAATACCTCCCATTTTTTTACTATTGCCGGTATTTTCCTATTTAAAAATATATAAATATGAGAAATTACAATTATAGCCTAATCCTTAATTACTCCGTGAAAAAAAAATCAAAAAACCCAAAAAATTACAAATATAGCCATGAAAATCGCAGATGGATTAAAATATAAATCCATCTGCGATTTTAGCATTCCATCTGCGAACGTACAAGTTGCTAAAGCACAACCGTGTTTTTACGACTAGTATGTTCGCAAGTGGTTTTTTTTAGTTTTTTATTTTTTCTGTATACATACTCTCATCTCTGACTAAAATTGCAGGTGAACTAAGTTCACTTGCGATTTCCTCTCATTCGACCTGCGATTTTGCGTTTTTTATAATTTTATAATTTTATAATTATTTTTTTTTATTTTGACTACGAAATTGAAAGAGTTTGACTATGAAACAACCTTATTATATAAAAAGTTTTGCAAAAAATTATCACTTTAGTTGTTATTTCTTTGAGAAGTTTGTTTAAAACCTCTCTAATAACATGAATTCTCCAACAAAAAGTTTGAAAATGTTTGAAAAATGAAATCGTTCATAGTACCTCCATTGAGAGTTCTCCAACAAAAAGTTTGAAAAATAAAAGAAAAAAAATTACGTTTTTATACCCCTAAAAAAGAGGAAATCACATAAAATGCTAAAAACTTATATATAATAAATATAGTTACAAGAAAAAGTATTAAACAATTAGATTATTTTTTTCAAAATGAGACATTCTTATTATTAGGGAGCTTGAACACTAAATAAAAGGAAAGAAGTGTCTCATAAACATAGACCATGTCATGCCACATTGACATGAAATCGATGCTTGCAAGAATGTAATTTAAGGTTGCATAAAACTTTTGATACCCCATGATAGTGGATGTTTTAAGAAATGTATTTTTAAAGTAAATATTTTAAGATATACTATATGCTACATAAAAACAAACTTTTAGTAAGTAATCCAGGTCCATTATTTATTATTTACAAAGTTATCATATAAATTCCTGAAACATTGATTAAAAAAAAAAAACTTTTAATTGTAAGTTCTAAACTTATAGTTTACATTCATTTAGCCGACGTAATTATGTGAATGGTCAAAAGCAAGTATGGCCCCGTTGTCCACAATAAGAAAAAAAAAGTATTTTAAACTGTATAAAAACGATAATCAATTTCACAACACCGGGTATATTCATACATTTATTTATGCACACTTTTTCTCATGAGTCTCTCTCTATGTAATTTCAGTCCTCCTTCAATCACGCCGTTTCTTCCTCTATCTTATACTTTTTTGTTATATACTTTGTTTTTCTTTTCTATTCTTTACTTTATATATGTATGTATATTACAGTTGCAGATCCTCATGTCACGTGGGGTCCATTTTCAGTCGAAACTCATGACGATTACCTCATTTTCATCAAAATACATTTTGATAAATAACAACAAAACATCACAAACTAAGATTTCAACCTTCAATTAGTCACATTCACACCCCCAAAATATCATGATTCAAGACAAAGACCCTTCCAATTTTTAATTGTCAACATTTAACATAACAAAGTCTATGAGTAATTAAATATTTATATAAAAACAAACTCACCAACAAATTCTCATTCACACTTCCTAAACCCAAGATTTGGCCATTACACTAAAAACAAGTAGCCTCATCTAGTCTAATATACATTAAAAAAATTAATAACAAACCAAACACTACTAAAAAAAAAAAAAAAAAAAAAAAAAAAAAAAAAAAAACGAGGACACTCCCTAAAATCCGCATCCGTACGTTGTTATGTAACTTTCGTATAATAATTAAATCATTTTTGGGGGATTTTTTTATATATATAAAGTAAGGTGTTTGGTTGTTGGCTTCTTTAGCAAGACACAGTAGTTAGTCCAAAACCAAGCTCCTGCAAAATGTAAGCCAATTATTTCAATTAATTACTTTAATAAAAAAATAATATACAATTTTTTTATCATTTTTTATTTTATAATCAATTTTCACGGACTTAATAAACAAACGACAATGAGTCATGTGAAAGCAAATATAGAACCCACACATCTAGGTGGCTAGACTAAAATGTGGGACCCACCCATGTGGTATGCTGTGGGGCCATTTGGCTTTTGGTGGGGTTTTACTTCAACAGGGCAGATTATATGCTTCAGGAATCAAGGAATTCAGTGAGTCAAATACAAGGGATTAAACATTAAATACGCAAAAGGGCAATTGCGGGATTTTCATGGATGAATAATCCACGTGACACTTCCAACCTAGCAAAATGCTTACTTGGCATTGGATGTGGCAGATGTCAGAATTAATAGATAAACGCGTGTAATTATGAAAATAAATAAATTTACCTTTTTCTTGGCGGGGGTTAGAGATATTTTATTTATTTCTATTCCCTCCATGTCCGGCTGAATATATTTTTGAGACGGTTGCCGGAGAGTCTCTGTGACGCTTTTTTAGCTCCGGCGACGTTCATTTCAGTTAAACTTTGTAAATGACCGTGAGCTCCGGCATCTACCAGCCTTTTCCGGCAACCGTTGCTGCCTCCGGTCATCAACGCGTGGACAATCGCCACCGGGTATTTTTTTGGTACCGATTCGTTCGTCGGATCTAACATCTGAACCAATCTCATCATGTTCTTTTCGTCCTTCACGAATTCCTTCCTGTTAGGTTTTATTGTTAATAGAGAAACCAACGATTTCATCGCTGAATCTTGTAACCCTGCCGGTTTCGCAAATTCTAGTAGTTTGACCAGAGATCCCATACATCCGGCGATTGCACGCTTGTTAGCGTCGTTAATTGACAGATTAGCTAATATGGAGACTGAGATTTGTTGGAGAGTGAAATTCCCTTGCTTTATGATTCCTGAGATTTGTGTTATGAAGATAGATGACGTAGATAATAACCGACAAACTGAATCTGAGGATGAGAGGGAGTGAATTGCGCGTAATATGTGTTCAATTGTATCTGGATTTGAAGATTGGTGAAGTAATTGTAACAGCTTTTGCAAACCTTTCTCTTGAATTATCATAGCCCTAAAATACTCGCCCGATGATGCGAGGATGGAGATGCAATTGGCCGCTTTCTCTTTTGCGGCGGCGGAACCTGATACAAGTAACCCAACTATCACCGGAACGGCGGCTTCTTCGCCTAAGGAGGCGCGAATATCTTCAACTGAAGCCACGTTTCTAATCGCACCTATTGCGTGAGATTGCGCTGTTAAAGATCCACACCTGCAGACATCAAGAAGTATCGGAACACCACCGTAGGCTGAAATCGCCCATGCATTATCAGGATCGGCGGTAATTGCTTCCACGGCCATCGACGCCTTTTCCTTCAATGGAAGCGAACCGGATTCAACGATTCTCAACAAAGGCCCTAGTCCACCCTCCTCGAAAACCGTTTTTCTAGATTGATCGCTTGCACAGGCAAGGATAGATATCGCAGATACCGATTGTTCCCGATGAGTATTCACATCAAATAAATTAATCAAATAACCGATGTTACCTTCCTTAGCAACCAACGTCGCCGCCTTCTCGTCTTCAACAAGTAATTGAATAAGCGATTCGAATGCCTTTCTCTTAAACTCCACACCTCCGATCTGCAATCTGGTGAAAAGGTCTCTAACAAACAAACTCAAATCTTCTTTAGCAGAACCAGGTGCTGGTTGAGAGAGCACAATCGCGTTGGACTGACGAAGAACGCCGGAGCGAAGTAGCAAATCGAGGTCGTGAAGCTGTTTGGAGAGCCACCCGGCAGCCATATCAAGATCGCTTTGCATCAGTAACTTTCCAGCGGTGTAGGTAGAATCGGTGCACCGATCGCATAAGGTCTGGATGCGGTGGAGGGTGGATAGGAGGTTGGGTAGTAGCGTTATAAGGAGTTGGTTTTCAGACCAGTGAGTGGAATAGGAGAGTTCAGAGAGAAGGGACTTGAGAGTTGCAAGTTTGGAACGCAATACTTGCCAGCGGCCCGGGAAAGAGTTGATGGAGAGGGATGCCGGCAGAAGGTGGCATAGAAGGGTGGTGGTTTCGTCGAGGGTTTCGGCGGGTGTGGGTGGTGCAGCGGCGGCAGGCATCGTGAAATGTAGTGAATAATAATTTTGATTTAGGGATTGGGGTTAAAGAAGAGGGAGGAATTGGCGTGGAGTGGAATGGAAGGGAAATGAGATGAGATGAAATGGGAGGGACACGAGAATGGAGAAAGTGAAGGTATCGAGAAAGGTGTGGGGTTTAATGTTAATGGCGGGGGTAGGGGGCATGTGAGTATACAGTATACAGTATACTGTGACGGTGAGCGCGTGGGCGCGTGATTGAGAAAAAGAAGAGTTAGAACCAAAGTGTATAAAACGTGTGGGCTGAGTGATGGGGTTCTGTTATCGTTATGTCGGACATACAATGGGAACTCAGAGTGTGGTATTTGGGCTTAAGCTAGGGCTTGTGGTTCGTTTTCTGCATTCCCTTTTTAAAACACAATAAAAAAAAAAAGAAAAAAGGATATTAATTACTAATTATAGCTTCAATTCTTTAAGGCTGAAAGTGTATTAGACTCGGGAGAGTAGGTGGTCGCAATACTGGGCATGTCCGAGTTGGCCTCGATAAACACCATACCACCAACTCGGGATGTTGAGTTCGGTGGGTTAATTCGGTAGAAAGCTACCGAAGAAAGAGAGTGTAGCTTTTGTGTTTTTTTTTTCTTTTTTTTTTATCATTTAATCAATTTTCTCATTTTCAAAAAATACTTTATTTTCAAAATAATGCATTCTTTTCAAAATATAATCGTTTTTTTTTTTAATTTTCAAATTTTAAACCCTCAATCCTCTACTATAAATATCATCATCATTCTTCATTATTCATCTTTTTAATTCAACTCTTCAAACATTTTTATTTTTTATATTCAAAACTTCATCTCTTAAAAATGGTCCGTGTTTGGTCCACGAACGAAGAGATCTTTCTAGCTCGTTCATGGATTGATGTAGCTGAAGAGCCAATCAACTTCAATGTCACTATGTCTACTTTCTGGACGAGAGTCAGTGAAAGATACAACCACGAAGTCGGTCAACCATGAAATAAATATCAACTTTTCCCCTAAATGGAGAAAATACACACACAGTTTCACACTGTGTTTCTTAGGATTAAGCATGAAGCAATGAATGGTTAAACTGATTGAATTTTGTTGGTCACTGCTATTGAAGTTTTTCGTGTAGAAACTAACAAATCTTTTCGGTTTGTTGAGTTTTGACAAGTTATGAGGCGGTCCGATAAATGACGTCAACATTGGGAATGAACTAGTGTTGTGTTTTAAGTTCTCGCGTCTTGAGTGTTTAAATTTCTAGGCTTTGTAATTTAAATTTTTAGTTTTTATAATTTTAAATTCTATGTTGTAATTTTTTTTGGTGTGTTTTAATTTTCTTTCTAGTTTAATGAAATTTTAGTTTTTATAAAATAATTTGTTTAAAATGTTTATTTTTTTATATTAATTAATTTTAGAAAAAAATAGCGTGACAAGCATGGTAATCCACGCCCTCTAAATGACAAACGTTTAAGCAGTGCGACAAATCCTATATGGCGCCAACATGGATTGTGATAAGTGTGGCAAATCCTACGTGGCGCCTATGTGGACCGTTGTAACACCTCGGTTTTCACGTATTTTCAACTGCATCCCTCGATTTTAATTATGTCATTTTGGTCCTTGGATTGGAAGGAAGTAGCCATAAGAAGCCCTAGTGGCAAGATTGTAATTTTGGGGCGGGAGGAGTACGCTAAGCATACATGTGGGTACGATGGGCATACTCATGTTCGAAAGAAACCCTAAGTTTTAGGGTTTGAGGGGTATTTAAGCATCCTTATGGGTCATTTATCCCCACCTTTTCATCCTCCAAAGCCTTAGAGTCGTCCCTTGCAAAACCCTAGTCCCTCAAGTGTGTGTTTGAGCTTAAAAGTGTGTTTTGGTGTGCTTAAGGAAGAAGGTGTTGCATCAAGGAGCATAGTGGTGGAAGCAAGCTTGTGGATATTGGATCATTACCTTCTTGAGAAGCTCCAGAAGGTAAAAAGTCTTCACCTTGATGCTTTGATTGCTTGGATCTAATTTTGGTAACCTTATGTTGTTCTTCTTGTCTCAAAAGTTCCATTTTTATGCATGTTCGGTTTTAGACGTTTTAAGTTGTCCTTCCAGACCCTAAGAAGGGTCCTAAGCCATAAAAATGAGGTCCCTTTAGCTAGTTTGGCTCCATGCATCTTGTAGAAGGTCTTAAGGGATTAAGACCTTGTGTTAAGGACTTTATGGACGTGTAAGGTCATAAAGTTGGAAACTTTATGACCCTAGTATGCCTCTTGATGTAACATCTAGAATCTAGAAGGTCAATTATGGAAATAAATTCCCTTTTTAGGGGCCAACTCGTCGAGTTTATGGCATAAACTCGACGTGTTGGAAGCTTTTGGGGCGCGTGTTTTTTAGGACCAATTCGTCGAGTTGGTGTAGGGAAACTCGACGAGTTGGACGCTATTTGAGAAAACCCTAATTTTAGGGTTTTGCACCCTATTTAAAGACCTTAACTCCCTTTGTTGGCCTCCTTATCAGACTCCTTGTCCAGAAAACCCTAATTTCGTATATTTTCCTTCAAGTTTGAGTGTGTGAGCTTGTGGTGAGCTTGGAGAGTTGGTTTTTGGTGTTCTTTGGAAGGAGTTTGAAGAATGAAGGTGCTTAGTTTGGAAGGAAGGCTTTGGATACATAAATTATCCACTTGTTACAATCCTTTTGAGGTATAAAGTCGAAACCTTGTGTTGTTATCTTCTAGATCTCTTTGTGGGATGTTTTAGCTTGATTTTTGGATGTTTGGTTAGGTTGTCCAAAGGTTAAGGGTTTCAGGGGTTATTATGTTAGATCTGACCCTTTTATGACCTCTCTTGGCATAAAGTTGCAAGCTTTGCTAAGTCCTAAGTCCTATCCATGCATTAAGTCCTTTATTAAGCCATTTTGGGCTTTAGGGTTCCTTTCTTGCATGCATGGACGTAAAGTTGGAAACTTTATGTGATAATCCAGCCTTGGGATGCTAGATCTGTGTTTTGGGACTATGTTTTGAGAGTTTAAGGGGTTAATGGGTTAAGCCTCACTCTATTAAGTTAAGGATTCAGGTTTGGGTTCATTGTAGTGGTTTTTAAGGGTAAAGTTTGAAACTTTACCCTTCTAGTCATCATTTGGGAAGAGATATGAGATTGGAAGCTTCTAGATTCGATGGAAACGGCTTAATGCATGAAGTTGTTTGATTCCTGGCCAACTTGGCGAGTTCAGTAGGAGAACTCGGCGAGTTGATGCGAGTTTTTCCGATCTGTGCATTTAATGGAGAAACTTGACGAGTTGAAGGACAACTCGGCAAGTCGGGTCAACTCGGACCGTTGAATTTGACATTTGACTTATAATTAAGGGAATTATGGGCTTATAAGGCCCGTATGAGGTTGGGCCCAATTTTCAAAATTAAGCCATTAGTGGGCTTTGATGGATCTAGTAGTTTCTGGTATTTTGGGCTTGAGTTGTTAATGGGACATCGGGATACAAAGTGTTTGGACTAGAAAGAATGGTTGGGCCTTAAGGCAGGGCCATGTAAGGAGTTTGGGACCAATTTGGAAAATTAGGTCATTGGTTGATTAGTGGGCCTTTGGGCCTTTTAGATTGTAGTTTGGATTATGGGCTTGCTCAAGGCTTAGGTTGGGGGTAAAATGGTCCTTTTACCCCAGGTATGGAGTTGTGGTTATGGATTGGAGCCCAATTGTTAATGGGGTGTATTATTGATATTGCTAGTTCAGGAAGCTGTCAGAGCAGCACCTAGGGATTCTTTCAGTGAGCTTCTACAGTGCGAGGTGAATCTCCTCACTATATCCATGGGTCGAAGGCACCAATGCCGGCCCATTATGTGTTATGTGGTATGATAGTTGTTCTGTGATATGTAGTATGCTAGCTGTTTCTATGATACTTGCATAGAAGACCTCGGGGGGTGCCCGAGGCATTTGTATATCAGACCATGGGGGGTGCCCATGGCATTCCAGGCAAAGACCTGTTGGATAAGGTGTCTAAGTTCGTAACTATATTTGGTATGAACTTGACCCGACCCGGCATGGTCCATTTGGGTTGCACTTCATCTAACAATTTGTATGGATATACTTTTGAGAATAAGATGTTTATGATCTATTAAATATATTATAAGTTATAATATATTAATATAAAATCATATTATTTAATTAGTGTTGATCAAGAATTGATTTTGGAATTAATTTAAAGATCAAAAGAGGCTAATTAAATATTGACTCTTACATATATATGGATTGGGCTAAGATTTATTTAGGATGGGCTAAGAGTATATGGAAGTCCATGGAGCTTTTAACCCATGGATCCTAGGTAAATGAAGAGTCATGGGCATTAGGGTGTAACCCTAATCCTCCATACGATATAAAGAGGTCATTGGTTCTAGAATTGGCACTAGTGTGTGTGAGAAACAAGGGTGGGCCGATTTTAGCAAGCATCATATTCTCTCAAGCAGTTCCAAGTTGTTTTGGGTGATTTGTGACACCACTTGAGGCATCCACACTATTGGTGCTAGGCTCTAAAACTCCAAGCAATCAATCACAAAAGAAAGGTATGTTATTCTACTTAAAGTTTTGTATTACAAGTACCCCATAACATGCTAGTTAGGTTGTAAACCTTGGAAATCAAATTTGCATGTATCATAGAGAAAACATAGATCCAAGGTTTCTAGGGTTGCATGTACACCATAGGAGTGTTAGAATGCTCAAAACCCATCGGTGGTATCAGAGCCTAGGCTTGTTTGCTTGATACTTGATGCTACATGTTTTTTTCCAAAGTTGAAATTATGTATTTTTTGCATCTGACTGCTCACCACGACGTGTCAGTGTTTACCACGACGTGGTGACGCCCCTGTATGCAGAATTTTGGGGTTTTGCTTGGTATTTGATGAGGATCATTACCCTAAACTGTTTTTTGAACCTTAAAACCTGTTTTTGATGTGGTAATGATTATGCTAATCCATTTACAATGGCAAATATCAAAATTCCATGTTTTATATGT